GTAGTGGTAGTGGTAGTGGTAGTGGTAGTGGTAGTGGTAGTGGTAGTGGTAGTGGTACCACTTTTCCATCTAAGAGCTTTTCATGTTTTATTTATTTATTTGCACAGGTTCAGTAGCCATACCGTTTTGTGTGACTATCATTGTGTTCCTTGTCTTGTCCAATGCTGTATTGGGTTTCCTACTGTGGAAGAAGAGTTCGATTCTAAAAGGTAAATGTATATTATATGCATATTGAAGTCAAGAGAACGTTAAAAATAAAAAAAAAAACATATATATTGAAAATATCAGGCATTCTATACTATTTTAATTAACTAACTAAATTTTTTTTCTTATTTCTACACTTGAGTGCAATTGAGGGCAATTGGAAAGCTTCCTAATTCTGTTTTCTAATTTAAATTTGTTAAAGAGGTTACTAAGAACAGAGGTCGGTTGGCACCTAACGAGCATCGACCAAATACTAGTACAATCAATGACAAAATCCTATCTTTAACGGTAACAAGACAACCACAAGTACCCTCGGCGCCCCTTTACCACGACGTTTTAAATGTTGGCGGCAACCGTGCTTCAGAATATCCAGGACAATTGTATCAAACATTGGACGTCAATTGCCAACAACCATACCAGAAATATCAAACCTTGGATGCTGCAGGTAAAAATGTTAACTCTCCCGTGGAAACCTCCGTATCAGATAATKACCAAGCACTACAAGATGCAATGCCRCCAGCTATCTATGGCCAACTGAATAAGGTGGCGTACTGCAATGTACATAACACTCAAGAAGACTTGGCAGCATAACTATTAAATGARTGTAGATATAAGACAAGTGAATCAAATCACTCATTATCTGGAAAGAASTAGCAAAGAAGAAMCGAGGATGGTTAAGAAGCTACCKTAAAAAWTATTCGAGCTKAAGTTAAGTTGGTCATGTCCAGTATGATAACATTGTAGCAATTGTGTAGAGAGCTTTACAAACGCTGATGCATATAGAGGATTGTCCGAAAAACAATAATTGTTTACATGTGACTATCAACAAGGTTCGGAAAGAACAAGACTCCTGCACCATTCACCCCTTACCATGTCTAGCAAATGCTTTAATAAAAATAATAATYATTAATTGGTCTATTCTTCATGATGGTAGGCAAGGAGAGGGGTGCATGTTGTTATATAGCGCATTTCACATCGTCTTTCGCACTTTACATTCACAATCAATGGAAGACTTTTGGGGTGGCATATTTAGGCGCCATTAACAGCCTTGTATTTTACAAGCAATTGTTAATATAACAGTGTATTAACTTCRAGACGAATTCCTTAATCTTTTCGTTTCAAATTTGAAAAACCTTAAGCATAAGCTTTCTTTTCTATTAAGGATATGGAGAAAGTCTTTGAACCTTTTCTAGAAATATGTTTTTATCTATACGTCTAGCTCATTTGTGCCGAGATGTCCTGTATGCGTAATCTCGAAATTTCTTCCAGTACTTAATGTATACTTTATCTATATTACTCCTTTGAAAATATTACATAYGCTTAAGTCAATGTGTTGCTTGGTACAATAACGTTTTCAACCTGTGCTAAATAGTGTTTTGTCTRTAATTTCTTTTTCTTGGGTGCTTATCATTCAAACCAATGCATGATGAACATTTCCCAATCAAATAGTTATAAAAGATCGCGCCGGATGGCACTGGATTCCCAAACGTCCCCTAAAAACAACACTGATTTTAATTTGGCAAATAAATTGGCGCATTGTATTGTTTCGGCTAGTGGATTGACAATGATTCTTTAAACATAAGCAAATATTGGATCAGCTAGAGTTCGAGTTATGCATCCCAATGAAACAAATAGTTAGCAAGGACCGATATATATTGTGTCATAGTCTTATAGGATATTTTTGAAAAAGACATGCATTTTTTTTTTTTCTTAGTGGACGCTCATGTCCCATCTTGCTTACTGCATTGTGCTTGTCATAGACATGATTAATTTATCTATTCCCATCAAATGCATTCCTCATTCCTGTACTGCCGGCATGGCATTATTATAGGACGTCGTCTTTGCTACATTGCCTATTAATATTAATTAAGTTCATCAAATTCGCCTTTTTAATATAAATAGCCTACAGGTAATCCGAGATAATCCGTCGGCCCTAGCCACAGACAGTTCAATCTCTTGTTCTATGGTATTTGAATATGTAGAGAGTGATCGTTTGAGCGTACTAAAATTTTCGAGATRTAAGTGAATCTGGCCAAGAAAATCCATCTTCAAGTTTATGCAAATGAACAGGATTTTGTATCTGATTTACAAAACTTTTCACGGTCGTGATTTCTGTTTTGCTTTCCTCATGAATTATTCATGAGTTTAATAAGTAATATTACCGTTGATAGAACAGGAGATTGGGCKGCCTGTGCCCTAGCGCGCCTGTATTGAGTCTGTGGTTCTGCAAAACATTCACAAACAAAACATCCTACAGACTTTGACCTCATAAACATTCCTAATAATCGAGTCTTCACTCTAAAATAGCAATGAAGTTTGAAAGCTTTTATATACTTCTGTGCTTTGTTACACCAGCAGGTAAGCTATATAAGATCTATAACCCGTTTAAATAATTACTTAGCTATCGATGGAAGTAGTTGCTGTGATGAGATCATATGCAGTCTAGGCAATTCACAATAAAAAGTAACAACGAGCGACGTCATACTTCCTGATACATATTTGTTTGATGAAATCACTGGGAACTTCGAACTCCTTAATGTAACAATGTTAACTATTGCTTTTTTTCAACACCGAATTTCCATTATTGAAGAACTGATATCAAGTCGCAAATGTCGGTCGATGT